GACCCTTTCACCGGGGTCGCCTAAGACCATCCTGCATATCAGATATTTACATTACGATTCATAACAGTAGCAACATTACAGTTATGAAGTAGCAACGAAAATAATTTTATGGTTGGGTCACAACATGAGGAACTGTATTTAAAGGGCCAGAAGGTTGAGAACCACTGCTCTAAGACCTGACTTTCACCTTGACCTACCAGTTTAGAAGTTCAAGGGAAAATGGCAAAGTAACATTTTTCTTGACAGTGTAGGAATAAGCAATTGGACACTGTCTCTTCAGCTGAAAAAAAAGTTAGAAAATCTCTCCATTCAAGTTTTATAAGCTTCTATCCAAGTGTAGCTTTGGCATGTGTTGCCTAATAAGAAACACACAACACTTCCTTAGTTGGCTTAATCCATCTCACACATGAACCATGCTGTAGCCACATAAGTAAGTCATATTTATAGCAGGTGGCAAACATATAATTTTTATTCCAGGAAATGATCTTTCACTTTTGTTTGCTGTATGCATTTAAGCAACTGCCAAGCCAAACTTAATTTTCTGTAAAATATTTTCTCTCAATATATAATTTTAAATCTTTTTCTTTGAAAAATTTAGTTATAGAACAATTGGCAAGAATAATACAATACCCCCTTTCTCTGGATTCTCTAATTGTTAGCATTCTGTCATATTTGCTTTATTACCCTCTCTTTATAGCTATATATACATAATGCACAGACACACATATTATTAATAATGCTATTTATGTTATTGAACCATTTACGAGTAAGTTGCAGATACCATAACTCTTTAGTCTTTCCTGATGTATCTCCTATGAATAGGAACACTGTCTTGCATCACCACAGAATAATGACCAAGTTCAATAAACCTAACGTTGGTACCGTATTGCCATTTAATGTACCGTCTATAGTCAAATTGCACCAGTTGTTCCAATAATAGTCTATATAGTGTTTTCCCTTCTGAACCACTGTGTTGTGTTTAGTTGCCATCTTAAAACATATTTGATGCTCCCCTCTCTTCCTATCTCTACAGTCAGAGCTTTTATATTAAGATATGAGTCTTGACCTTTTCTTAAGCCACTAAATACCAATTATTTAGCACCTGTTAAACGGTTAGCATTATATTTGGTCAGGAGAAGACAAAAAAAATAGAGATAAAATATCCTACTGAGTCATCTCTTGGGATGACAATATTTCCATTTGTGAAATGATTAGACTATAAGAAAGGTAGAGAAGGAGGCAGGAAGAGAAGCAGGAAGAGAGGGAGGGAGGCAGGAAGAGAGGGAGGCAGGAAGGAAGGAAGGAAGGAAGGAAGGAAGGAAGGAAGGAAGGAAGGAAGGAAAAAAGTAAAGGAGAAACAGAGGAGAGAGTGAAGGAGGGAGGAAAGGAAGAGGGAGCACTAATGAGCATACTGTAGGGTCAGGGTTAGCCTACAACTCTCTGTGTTGGGCCTGTTTCTCCACTGCCTACAAAGCAGGAGTGCAACCTGGTCACCAAAAGTTTTAAAAACTCCCCATGTCATTGCCCTGCCGGTAATCCATTGGTTGGAGCATTGTCCATGCACCAAAATGGTTTCAGATTCGATTCTGGGTCAGGGCACATACCCAGGTGCGGGTTTGATCCCCTGTCAGAGTACATTCGGGATGCATACGGGAGGCAGCCAATCAATGTTTCTCTCTCATATCAGTGTTTCTCTCTCCTGTCCTCTCTCTAAAATCAATAAAAGCATATCTTCTGGTGACAATTAAAAATACAAAAAATACTCCCCATGTGAGTCTACATTGGTCTCTAGGTTGATAATCATTGTACTAGAATCTGAAAACATCACAATAAGCAAAACCAGTTGGCTGGACCTACTACTGTTTGCAACTCTGAGCTATCTAAATTGACCTAAAATACTTCATTCTAAGTTAGGGTTCCCAGAAGATGGAATCCTCCAAGGAGGATTCAGTTTACTATTCAGCAAATCTAGGAGTAACATATTTCCATTCATTAGACTGTGTTATCGCAACCTCGGGACTATTGACATTTGGGCTGGTACTGCTGTTGACACTATTGACATTCTTTGTTAGGGGGCTGTCCTGGGTATTAAAGGTGTTTAGCAGCACCCTTTGCTTCTACTCGCTAGATACCAGTAGCACCCCCACCCTCGTTACAACCAAAAAAAGTCTCCAGATGTTGCCAAATGTCCTTTTTGGGGAGGGGGTGGGGAGCAGTTAAAATCAGGTCATTGAGAACCACCGCAGCAGACTGAGCTCCTCAGAGATAGGGCCCATTTCTGATTTGTCTATTACTGTGTGGCAAGCAGCATACGTGGCACAGAGCAGGTCTGTGATAAAAAGCAAGCTAATGAATCAAAGCCCTAGATTTCTGCTCATGTGCTCTGTGTCCCTATTATGTTCATATTGAATCGTCTCACAGATAGTCCCAGGAATGGAACAAGAAAGGGTTGTGTTGGCTCCACGTAATCTTTATGATGAGACAACATTTCAATCAAAGGTCAAGGCCCTACCCATGATAAAACGCAGATAGATTACTCCAGCACGGTATGCAATTAGTTTTTATAAAAGTTATTTTTTCATTTATTTAAGGAAAAGGATCGTTGACAGTTTAAGTCTGGCAGGGAAGGTGGTGGGATGAAGGCAACTGACACATCTCACTGAATAGAAAAGGCTTTCTGGAATATGGGGAGCGGCTGGGGTATGATCAACTTGGTCTGTGAGGAACATTGAAGGGTCAGTCACGCTGAACTATGAGAGACTCCGTCTTCACTACAGTGAATGTACATTGGGAAAAACCATCTTTTAATTGCTTTAATTTTGTTAGGCAAGAGCGGCATGGAAAAAGTGTGTGTGTATAAAATCACATTTAAAATGCTGTCTTCTGGTGTGGGATGTTGGTAGAGGGGGAGGCTATGGGTGGGGAGCAGGGAATATATGGGAACTCTGTACTTCATCTCAATTTTGCTACGAACCTAAAACTGCTGTTGAAAAAAAATACTATTTTAACTTTTGCTAAAATGTTAATGCTAAGCGTAGTGGACTCTAACCATATTTTCAGAATTTCCTATTTCATGTGTCCTTTTCATACTTAATGACCTCAAAACTCGTAGTGGTTCAGTGATAACAGCTGCTCCAAGGAAACATTAATGAGGCAAACTCCCTGGCGGGGGAGAAGCTGAAGTCGAGGTCATTCTGAGATGAGGACTTCCAGAGAGCTTTGGCTGCGAGGTCTTCTCACCAAATTTCTGATTTTGAAGGTCCCTAATTTGTATCTTAATTAAACTGCAGTTCAAATCTATTGTGAGCACAATATAGGGGACTTTGGAAGATGAAGCAGCACTTTAGGTATTTTCAATTTTTCAAGGCACTGCTTTTTAAAATCTACCCTAACAATATCCACATATGCATTAGCTCACTGCTGAAATATATACATTTTTAGGAGGCAAATCAAGAATGTTTTGAAAAGGATTTATATTCCTCTACTTACCCCAAGGCAGTTTTGGGTTGCTAAACCCTATCAGTAGTTGATTTTTTTTTTTTTTAATCCTCACCTGAGGATATTTTTCCATTGATTTTTAGAGAGGGTGGAAGGGAGAGGGAAAGAGAGAGAGACACATCGATTGGTTGCCTCCCACACTTGCCCCAAACAGGGCTGGGAATCAAGCCTGCAACGGAGGTACATGCTCTTGACCACAGTTGAACCTAGGGCCCTTTAGTCTGCAGGCTGATGCTCTATCCATGGAGCCAAACTGGCTAGGGCTGTATTTCTTGTTTGGTTCCTACATTTCTAAATGCTCAACCAGTTTTATTCATCCAACATATATGTGCATGTTCTGAGTACTCTTTTAGGCATGAAAGATATGCAGATGGTCTTCGCTTTAGGGATGATATTTAATACTCTCCCTGTCAATACCACATCCAATTTATCAGCAAGTTCTAGTCTCAAAATCTATCTCAGATCTGTACCTTTCTTTGCATTTTTATGACTCCTTATCAAATCCAAGACATTGTTCTCTTTCTTAGGGTTCCCACAATAGCCTTCTAATTACTCCTTTTCTTCCTTATCCACCCTTCTATTCATTCTTCATATGGCAGTTTGAGTAATTAAAAAAAAATTCACCCAGAATATTGTTACTTCCTTGTTTAAAATGGGTCAAAAGCTTTCCATTGCACCAAGAAGGAAATTCAAACTTTTTGCCAAGATGCTCAGGACTCTGCATCTTGTCTGCTGCCTACCTCTCCACTCCTATCTAGTACTTCTTGCCCACCAAGGCTTTAGCCACACCTGGTCTTCTATTTTAAACCCACCAGTTATTTCCTCCATTGGGCCGCTCTCCCCACAGATGTTTACATTACTGGCTCAATCTCAGTCTTCAGAACAAAAGTCACCTCCTTAGAGAGGCCTTCTCTAACAGATCCATTGAAAACCGGCCTCTCCTAGTTACTATCACATCTCCATGTTTATTTCTCTTAGAGTATTTATCACAATCTGTATTTACTCATTTATGTATTTGCTTATTTATTGTCTATTCCCCCCTCTAGAAAATAAGGTCCAAAATATAAGGGTTTTGTTTTGTTTATTGCTATATCTCTATACTTGAAGTTAAGGTCATTCTAAGATGGTCCAGTGTTGGTCAGGGCATGTGCAGGAGGCAACCATTTGATATGTCTCCCTCACATTCATGTTTCTCTCTGTCTCTCCCCCACGGCCTCCCTCCCTTCCATGCTCTCTAAAAGTCAATGGAAAAAAAAATCCTTGGGTGAAGATTAACAACAGCAACAAAAAAGATGGTCCAGTGTCTTGAAGGGAATATGGAATGTACTAGACAATCAATATTTGCAGAGTCAATAAATTCCCCCACATTGTCTAGCTCTGGTTATACAAAAGAGCATCAATAAATACTTTTTGATCAATTGACATAGAAGGGCCCTTGCTAGGAATCAATGCTTTTGCAGACTTATAATATGTTTTGAGTTATAGTTCTATAACATTTTGTTCTTCAGAGTCACTAGGATTACAGCGTTATAAACTTATGGTGTAAAATATATAGAATAGTAATATAGATATTATAAAGTGTTGCAACCTGTATTGCAACACTTTCTAAAGGATGCCCTAGGCCTCCATCACCCTATTGTCTGTGTCCATGGGTTATGCCTATATGCATATAAGTTCTTTGGTTGATCTCTTCTAAACCACCCACCCACCCCTGCCTTCCCTCTGAGATCCCATAGTCTCTTCCATGCTTCCATGTCTCTGGATCTATTATGTTCAACAGCTTATTTTGTTCATTAGATTCCACACATGAGTGAGAGCATGTGATATTTGTCTTTCTCTGACTGGCTTATTTCCCTTAGCATAATATTCTCCAGGTCCCTCCATGCTATTTCAAAGGGTAAGAGATCCTTCTTTTTAATGCTGAACAGTATTTTATGGTGTAATTATATCACAGCTTTTTTATCCACTCATCTACTGATGGGCACTTGGACTGTTTCCAGATCTTCGCCATTGTAAATTATGCTGCTATGAACATAGGGGTGCATACATTCTTTCTGATTCATGTTTCGGGTTTTTTAGGATATATTCCTAGAAGTGGGATCACTGGGTCAAATGGCAGTTCCATTTTTAATTTTTTGAGGAAA